GGTTATTAATGAAGTTTGTGTACTCAGACCAGTAATATTTGGGGTCACAAGTTTTTGCCATGGATATTTTGTGGGTCAGAATATAAAAAGTTTGGGAACCAGGTGCTTTTTGTATCATTTTGACCCCAGGGCAGCAGGAGGATTTATTATTTTATTCCTCCCCCACTCACCTTTCAGCTCCTATTTTTAAACTTTTGATTTAATTTAATCAAAACAATTTGTTCTGCCTTGTGTCTCCTGTTTTTTTTTTTACAGATCAGCAACAGTCAGGGTTCCCCTTGTTAAGCCATCACACATCTTCCTCTCTCCTCCTCCTCCTCCTCCTCTCTCCCTCCAGTTGAACATCCTCTTCCTCCTCCCCTCGCTCCTGCATCCAGTCTCTCACTGTTTGCCGCTTCCTCATCACTTCCACACAAACCGGAGTTGAACAACTGGTGAAGAAAWTTTGGGGGAGAAAAAAAATCAAACAAAATCCAGAGAAAAGTGTCCGCTCCGAGGCGACCCACAACCATGACCCGGTCCTGACTGGATTAGCCAATCTATTCTGAGCTTTAAATGAGATTAGGGAGTCAGCGGTGGTGCGCGGTACCTGCCTTTTCGTTTGGCTCCTCCGGGACCGTTTCCCCTCCTCCTCCTCCTCCTCCTCCTCTTCCTCCTCCTACTCCTCCTCCTCCTCTCAGCGGACCTCCCGGCGTGAAAAATGGCGCTTTCGGTGGGCAAGATGCGAGCGGAACACGGCGGACGGCTGGACGCGCGCTCACCTGAGCTGCCTCCGCGGCGCGCCGATTCCTAGAAGTCAAAAGTGGAGGAAGCGAGCAGCGGCAGAAGTAGGCAGCAGGGAGGACACAACATGAAGTACCAGAAATATATAACGGTGATGCAGATGGCCATGGGAGTGACAGCATCCAACAAAGACTGCCTCCCCGTCAAGAGACAGCTGTGGTGAGTTTCTACAGGAGGAGGAAGGAGAGGTGSAGAAAGTTAAAGATGCTGCGAACGGAAGTGGCATCCTCTCCTTGTTTTGTCAACTCGCTCCCTTTCCCTCTCAAGCTTTTACTTCATAAAATTTCATCTGCTTGCTTCAAAGAGTGGAATCAAACAGGATCATCCTGATTTAAATCAAATTTGTACAGTTTGAAAAAGTTTACACGATTTCCTATGTTTATTTGCATGTCTGAAATGCGGGTCTGCACTCARTGCAAACAAATAAAGCTAAAAGTGGAAGTTTGACCTACATTAGGCTGCTGTCTGTCAACAAATAGGGAAATGTCAGACATTTATCTGGAAATCTGAAAATGAAGGTGGTGCTAAAGGAAGGGAAAAAATCGAAAAGGTCGATCGCAAGAATAAATATTGAGAATAAAAGCGGGGAGATGGAGCGCCATAAAGACAGAGCTCGGTGTTTAAACACATGCAGCTTTCACAAAACTTCTAGAACTTCAGCAAAACCCTTAGTAGTTGGCATTTAGTCCCAGATTTTGATTAGGCCTTCATTTTTTTCTTTATAGATGCTTTAACCATTATAGATAATTTTACTTGATTGTTTTTCAGTTGTCTCGACTTTTCAATTTGCACTTCGCACTTATTTAGTTCATTTGACTTTTTACCATAAAGCCTATGATTTCACTCCAGTCTTTACTGATGAAGAAAAACATCTGCTGGCTTTAGATCGTATTTTCTGTTTTTTTTTTACAGTTATGTTTATGTGAAGTGAGCAGTGGCCTCTGATTGGCTGCCTCTGTCTCTGTCTGTGTGTGTTTTCATTGTTACATTTCAGCCCTGTCACTCTTTTATTTATCTGTCGACACGTTTCATCCCTGCATCTAAATATATCCTCAAACCACATCAGCTGATCTGGTTTCCTCTTCTTTCTTTCTTTCTTTTTAATCTGTCGCTGCCTTTTGTTTTATGTCTGGATCTGCAGTTTTTTAGTTGTTTCTCAATTGTCCTCTTAAATATTTAGAACAGGCTGTCTCTATTTAAAGCACATATAAATAAGTCAAAGATTTGTTGACCTTTTTTGKCTTTAGAAAATCTTGGCAGCCTGTAAAAAGAGATTTAAGATGAGACTTAATAGTTATATATATTTGTATTAAACATAATTGACACACCTACTTTTACTCATACAGCACTGAAAGGTGAAAACATATTGATGATGCATGATTGTGTTTCTCTTATTTTATAAAAAGGTAAAAACAATATAAAATATTCAGAAAATTAATCATTCAATGAACAAAGATATATACACTCACCAGCCACTTTATTAGGTACACCACGCTAGTAACGGGTTGGACCCCCTTTTGCCTTCAGAACTGCCTCAATTCTTCGTGGCACTAGATCTATTGGATTGAGATCTAGTGACTGTGGAGGCCATTTGAGTACAGTGAACTCATTGTCATGTTCAAGAAACC